GCGATCGAACAGCTTCAACGGAGGACGATGATTGCGACGTTTACGCTTTGTAGGGGAAGAAGAAGGCGGGTCCTCATCTGTAAGACCAAGTCGAGGGATGACCCATACCTTTACTCCTCGGGAGGAGCCTGCACCGTGGTAGACATCACGAATAAGACCGATGTCTCCTTTATAAAGTCCCATTTGACTTGCACCCATTGGCGAGGAGCAAAGGTTAGATCGTCAGTCGTGGAGCCGAATATGTAGACACTTTCCGATGTCCATCTCAGGAACCATTCCCAGAGAAGACATTCTAGTGTCAGAAAAGGCTCTCAAACCTCCCTCAGCGACCTCGGCCCTGTTCTAGAGAACCGGGCTTCGAGATACAGGAAACCTATATCGCGGGGGTTGTGAAACACGGATCGCAGTTCTGACTTGAGGTCTCGATGCTTCATCATCAGCTCATATAAAAGGAAGTACTCTTGCGAAGGCTGTGAGAAGAGGTGAGACTGTAAACTTTTGCTAGAGATAACTCGATATACCTTGCATTTTATTCGCCATAGACCCCAGTCCTCAGTGCGTGGTACCAGAGATCGTTCATAGGCTGGGTTTTTCGACTCCGTTACGACCTTCAGGTTCACAGTCGTGACCCGCTTCGGGAAAAGGCCTTTCGACGTACTTGCCTTGAATTTGGCCCACCAACTGCGACAAGAATGATGGAGCAGTCGATGAAGTGGGGGTGGAAGAGGGAAAGGCAGTCGCGGGAGCGGGAGGAAGGGAATCTCTAGCTTCGCGTGAGAGGATGCGTGAGTGTCGTCGAAAAATCTAGGAGGAGTGGAGATGGAAACAGCCTGGGCTTGGAGTGAGGCGAGGTGGTCAGAGGAGAGGTGGTGGTTGTTTGAGATTCCTGTCAGTGCCACCGGGAGCTTCGAGGTCAATGGACCGCGCGCGCGCGCTGAGTGGCAGAGGGATGTTGAGTCATTTTGGCGTTGATTTGCGATGTGGGTCTGCCGCGCGAAGGTGCGCATTTACTGGGTGGGTGTTGAGACCGGTCTCAGGTTTTCGTTAGTCTTTGTCTTTTAACTGTAGATCATTTTTCTTCATTTAAGTGATGAATTTCGCTTTTTTTTACCCTTTTTTACTGTTGTAATGATTGACTGGCTAAAATTAGATGTTTACTCAGCTGTTGGAAGGTCGTGTGCGAGTTTTACCCTAGCTGGGTGGTCTAAAACAACGAAGCAGGAAAGTTGCTTACATGATGCGTCCGTTAGCGTGTATGAGTTGCTGTGCCAAAATTCAGGTGAAAAAGGGAAGTAGGTGCTTGAAGAGGGTCAGGCACTTTGGCCTTTTTTTGGGGTTTATGGAATGTTGGACGGCACCTATAAGTAACCGGACGCATTCTGTAGCAATTTCTGCTTCGCTTGTTTCGGTACCACAACACGGCCCTTGCAGAAAGGTCAAGGTAAGTCAAGCTTTGACTTACCGTTGCTAATGCAGATCTGATTCTTTTACAGGGACAAGAGTTTCTGGAGCTAGTCTCTAGTCTTTGCTTGGGCAGTTCCACGCTGTCACGGCGTGTATTGTCTTTGACCGACCGAACCATTGTTCAGCGGCGTTGCCACGACCACGGAAGCTTGCATTTAAATAGCTGCTCTTCAATATGCCCCGAAAAAAATCCAAGCCCATGGAGCTCATGATATGCGTTTACAGCAAACAAATGGACGCTCACCATAATGGTAGCTGTCTGCCTGTTTGGCATTCCATTGATTATGCCGGGTTGGAAACAGAGCTTTCTCTAACCTGGCACATGAACACCATTCGGGCAAAGGAGCCAGCGATCCCTCAAGGGCAATTGGCAGCCGTACTGCTTGTCCCTAGCCAAGATACGTCTGAAACAGTCTTGACTATCCGAACGGATTATAAAGAGATCACTGGTACTGTGTCGTTGTCCAAAATCTTGGCATTTGGAGGTGCTTGCCTTGTTTTTCAAGGTATGTTTTGTTTCATGCGTTCCGTAAATCCTGCATTCCTTAAAATGGATTTGTCTAGACCAATACGATGCGTATCGCGAGTCTTATCAATCCCGTCAAGCCCGTCAGGACCTTGAATCCGATATTGTGGACGATTTCCTTCGTCGCTACTTGAAAGACAATCAGCTCGACCATCTTATATCGACGTCATTTTCAAAATGGGCAACGCTTCCAGTTTTTCGGAGTTTTCGCTTGTCACCGCTGGTATCTGTGAAAACATAGACGATGATTTGCCCCTGTTTGTTCAGGCCAAGAAAGAGCAAATGGAGAGTAAGAGGGATTGTACGCACTGGCCTCAAGGGGTATGTAACTAAGCCCTAGTCAATTTGCAGAATACTGATTTCTGAATTATGCTGCAGAGTCCTGAGATGAGCCTCCTCAAGCTGACTACACAGGTTTCCTTTACCACAGGGTTGGACCCCACTGAATTCTGCATCATATCACCTCCCATTCAGCACTCAAATACGTCTACACGAGGTGCTTCAACACCTGCCACCCCTGCTCTTCCTGTCTATGACTATTCCGCCCCCTTGGACCCAAATGTCTGTGCTGCCGAATTACGTTTTCTCGGTCACCACCTACAAACCTTGAAACAGCCAGAAATGAAGCTGGAGCTCGACATAACAACAAACATCCTTGTCGATGCATCTACATGTGCACTGAAGGCGTACAGTCCACAAGCGAGCGCATCCTGGCCCACGTAAGTTTCCGCGTTGACAACATGTCCCGAACAAACTGACGCTAGATTTGTAGTCCCAGCCATCATTGGCCACGTCACATGGGTGTGTTAACTCTGCGGAACGTTGATAGCTGCTTGGAGGACACAAGGCTTCATCTGATTCATCCCAAATCGGACGGGATGCTGGCCTGCCGTTTCGAACTTGGTCTACTCATTGAAGTGGATTCCCACAGCTTCAGGAACGATTGGCGGCGAATGTTGGTACAAGCGGCATTTTATGTTCGTTTCATAAACCGTACTTTGAAGACCCACACCTGCTGTTTGCCTATCTTCTGGATCAGCAAGGAGTATCGAGGGGAGTGTTATTTGGTGTATGAGAAGGACAACAAGGTATGCATTGTTTTCTTTCGCACTCAATCAAGAGACTGACTTATTGTTAGATCCTCTATCATTCCTTGCAATACTCAGGACCGCAATGCACTCAAAAAGAATATCCTTTGTTAGAAGCCCATGCCCGAGCGCATTTTCATCTCAGACTTCTCAATGCCGGTGATTCACGTGCCCGTCAAATCAGTCCTATCCAACAAGAAGTCCTCAGCAATGTCTGGAAAAAGCTCAATGACACTTCAATTGTTTTCAAGGAAAACAATGTCGGAAAATGGGTAGCAGAGAGTGAAGCTGGCCTCCCTCCATCTAAGAGGCAAAGGACAAATGACAGCGTGGTCCACAGGCGGGCATGAGCATGACCCGTATGTACTTCCCCAGTGTTGAGGAATCGGTGTCAAGCTTCGTGTCCCCGATGTTGAACGCGGACATGAGTGTCGAGGAAACGGGTCCTGTATGAATTTGTTTAAATGTCATCTATATCTTGAATTGATTTTGAGTTGGTGTGCAGCCTGGCGTCTATTTTATCAATCTCAAGTCAGGGTTCCGCTGTGTTCGAAAAACTGATTGGTGGTAGGTTGGGGAGGCAGGAACTTGCGGTCTATGAGCGTCTTCAAGAGTATTGTAAGTATACGCATGACCCTCAGCACCCAGGCGTTGAGCACTTCATCCCAGAGTGGTCAACTGGCCAGTGGTCAGAAGGACAGTATCTCGAACTTCCTTATCACATTCCACTCAGTGAAGAAATGAGGAAGGGAGGGAGCTACTTGGAAAGCCATGCTTTATTGCTTTGTGCTCAGCTCTCGGAGGGTATTGAATTCCTCCATTCCCAACTCAAGGTAGCCCATATGGATATCAAACCCGACAACTTGGTCTTGGCCAGGTCACAGTACATGCTCAAAATCATTGACTTTAATCTCTCTGTTGTGGATGTGAATCACATGATCACAGGTGTATGTGGGACCAAGGGCTACATGGCTCCTGAAGTTCAGGAAGGTGACCAATACTGGCCCTTCCTTGCAGATCAGTATTCATGTGGCGTCTGTATGAAGCAATTTTTGGAACAAGGACAATATCAGGAGAATTACTGTCCCTCCTACCTAGCCTTCGAAATCTTTGCTGCAAAATTACGCAGTTGGACTCCTAGCAAGCGTCCTTCACTCATGGATCACCCCGACGCAATTGGTCCCAGTGGCAGCACCGGACCAAACGGCGGGCATCCTTCACTCACTCAACGCTCCCAAGATAGGTATCTGCAGCTATCCAAACAGCGGGCTCACGGATGGCCCCCAACGCGATTGGTATCAGCAGCACCGGTTGAAAAGGCGGGAATCCTTCACTCACGGAATGCCCGCAATGCGATTGGTCTTGGCAGCACCGATTCGAAAAGTGGGCAACGCGATTGGTCTCAGCAGCACCGTTTTAAGAAGTGGACATCCTTCACTCATGGAATGCCCGCAACGCGATTGGCCTCAGCGACACCTGTCCAAACGGCGCCAGAAATGCTGAACTGAAGCATTTCCAGGTATTCTTCTGGACAAATGGTAGAAGTATGTTCAGGAACATTTGAGTAGTTGAAGGACGTCCGAAAGGACTTCGATTGCGTTCAGTTTTTCGATACTTCATATCTTTGCCTGCAAGTTATTTAAAAATTAGATCAGTCCATCATCTTGTTGTATTATTGTAATAATGTCGGGTTTGTTGAAGGACATCGGGTTTTTCAATACCTTCTTTGCATCAGGACCTTTAATTTATTGAAACACTTTGTATATCTACATGTTGTAGCATGTTGCTTGTATACGCTTGTATACGAATAGAAGACCAGACTTGATGGTTCAACAAAAAACTAAGATGCCAATGGTTCAACGAAATACAAATATTTATTATACTGTAGGGAACATTAGCGTAGATAATGCTCCAGTAAACATGGCGCTGTGGGGTAATGGTTAACCTTAGGCTTCAGAGTAAGTTCCTACAAGCACTGCGATGCCTAGCTGTGAGTTCAAATCTCGCCAGCGCCGTTCAGAAAATCGATAGAACTTTTGCCGGTTTTTACCGGTTTTTTTTTTGCAAAAGAGCTGGGATATGGCTGTAAATGATTGGAAATTGCGCGGTCCTTACACTGCACATGCTGATGGAGCGTTTGGGGCCCACCATCCTTTGCGATGAGGTTGCACTAATTTGCTGGCTTGGATGGTCAAGAAAGGTTGTGTATTGAGGGGGTGACCACACAACCGGACAACTTCACATTCGTTCCTGGTGCTCACACTCACATTCCGCCAGCTCACACTCACATTCAGATGGCCCACACTCACGTTTGCAAGGTTCACTCTCACTGATAGCTGGCTCACACCCATGTCCACCAACCTCGAAGTCACATACCTATTACCACCTATAGATTAAGTAGTTATAATTAAACTTGGTTGAAGTACATTCGTTCAAATATTATATAGTATTCATAAATTATAGTAAAGTCTACATTCAAGTTCGAGAAATTATAACTCGCGCCAAAGTTCATACCATTAGTACCCACAAAGTTCATACCCACATCATTACCAAAGTCCATATTTGCACCAAAGGTGGCAAACACGTTCAAGTCGAACCCAATCAAAGTTTACAACACTGAAGTCATAAAAGCTAGCCCGGAACTAGGAACCGCATCCAACAATGCAGGTTGATCTGGGACAAATGAATGAATGAATTGATTGTACCAAAAGACTCGGAAATGATGACTGAAGTGACGATGACTTGTAGGAGCTGAAGGAGGATTCACTGTACAGTGTCATATTCAGATACAATAAAATTCAATGTGAATACTCACTGTTGATGGGATAAGGATCAGCTACAACATGAGCCTTCAATGGTCGTATTGCGGGAACTTGACCAGACAAACTTGACATGCCACAGAACATTGTCCTCGTGCCTTCGAGCCAGATGCAGCTTTGAGTTTGTCCTGAAGGTCTTTGGTGGCTTGGATTCAGCAACTTTCTGTTGAAGTCAACGGCAATGAGCCAATCCTGATATAGAGTATTTATGTACCTAATCCCGAAATGCATTCAGAATGTTACTGGGAAATCGGTTGATGAGCGTGACAAGGTCCTCTGTGTTTGGTCAGTCATTTTGGGCAGCAGACCATGGTAGTAATAGTGAAAGGTTTGTATTATTTGTGCATAAACTGATCAAACAATTGCATTTAACAATGAGAGTGACTGTATGGCTCGGAATGTGCGCATGAGCCGCGGGCCGTGAGTGTGAGCCGGCCAAATGTGAGCATGAGCTGGCGGGTGAGTGTGAGTACCAGGAACGAATGTGAAGGTGTCCAGTTAAGTATATACCCGAGATATTGATATATTGCGGAGAGGGATAACGTAGTGGCTACACTGCAAGCTGTATGACTGCATATTCCAAAAAATACATTTACATTATTCAACGTCTGATTGCAAGGATTACAGGGTTGCGATCTCAAAGGACCTGCAATGTAACAAGGGTGCATCAATAGATAGCATAAGCAAAAAGATTGAACAAAGACTTACAATTTTGGGTGTAAACCTCACTGCACAATGCGTCGACTGGAAGTTGGCAAAGGAATTATTATTGTCAAACGTGGTTGATTGTGTCTGGTCGAATTTTGTGAGCGATTGAGAAAAAACTTGTGCAAAACACTCACCGAGACAATTCGGGATGGCGAATTTGATACTCTGCCCAAACATCCAGATCCTTGAGGTTTTTCTCTGGCTCCCATCTATGATTTACAATGTTATGAGACAAATGAATATGCATGATTTGAGGCATTACTAAGGTGTTCTTGTAATGAGGCCACCCAACCCACTGGATTGTGAAACCATTAATCTACCGTATATTACTCAATGGTAATATTACTTACTTTCACTAGATACTCCTATGCCCAATTCAGTGATTCACGATGGTTGAAGAGCGTAACTTACTGTCTGTCCACCAGAAACTTCACGATGGTCAACAAGTTTTTCTACAATTACATTAGCATGTGAATTTCCCATTGCTGAGGGTCTTACCGACTGCCCAGATTCGCTCACCCCCAGTCCAACCTACATGTTTTTTGCGTCTGGGTGTCTGCCTTTTGTTCTTTCGCTGGCCCATTTGTCGTTTCCAAAGTTTTGATACCCGTAGCCGGACAATCGTCAGAGTAGACTATCGAATAAAAATTTGTCTGTATGCAAAATATTTTTACTCACTGTAAAGGTCATTGAGGAAGAGTTACGCCCTACCGGTGGTGGTCCTAAAACAAGCGAAGCAGAAGTTGCTTACATGATGCGTGCATTTACTTATAGTTGCCGTCGGCCAAATTCCACAACCAAAAAGGAAGTAGGCGCTTGACACTTCCTTTTTGGTTGTGGAATTTGGCTGACGGCAACTATAAGTAAATGCATGCATCATGTAAGCAACTTTCGCAGCACTTGCGTCTGTACCACCACCAAGTGCTGCAGAAGTGTCTGGGCGTTGGCCACAACAATGACTACTGGCTCTTTGACGCCGATTAAATTATTCATTGTGTATGAACCTTAAGAATTCCAAATATGGTGCAGTCGAGCACCCTGTGGCACTGAATGGCAACAAGGAGGGCTACCAATTGCGAGTGCGTTCAAAACCGATTAATTTTTTGTGCCTACTTACTGATAACCCTTTCCAATAGATTACATTACACGCATGAACAACAACAGTAGTACTTGCTACGGACATGGGTGTTGTACTAGGCAAGTTCATGCTTCAAGGCTTTAGCAATAAACTGACTACAAGTAGCTATGATAGGAACATGCTGGGCAACTTGAGTTGTTGTGCCATTCTACAACAATGAATTGTACACACCAAGATATTCTCGAGAATGAAAAGTGTCAACAGGACCACTAGGAGCAGCCAAGGTCCATCATGGGTTACCCCCCTCTTCTTATCATTCTTAACAATAGTAATCAAAAGTTTCTCCCACACCTGAATCTTGGTTCAACCTATGTTTTCACCAGATTGTCCTACCAGAATCAGCGGAATTCCCGCCACTTCGATGCTCTGCTGCAGAATCAGAAACCCACTCATCTCTGTCAATAACATTGCTTACCGCAATCGACTGAACCCATTCCTTGATGCCAACGTGAATTGTGTCATTGATCTTTCCAGTGCGACGGTCAAAAATGTAGACTTTTCCTTGGTTGCTTCCACAGATCACCATACTGGCACCATCGTGGAAGGCCACATTTCGAGACCTGCACTCGCTGTGAGGTACGCTCTTGAGCCTCTCTGTGCCCGAAAGCTTGTAGAGTGCTATGCCTTGAGATACGTCGTCTAGGATGACCGCATCCTCCTTCATGTTGATAGCAGCGTGGCCTCTGTCATCATTAGCAGACTCATGCAGTAATGACCGAGTCAACTTACATGACAGTACCGGTATCTTTGGACTTTAGGACCTGCCCGTTATCGTTCAAGATGTGGCTACCATATACTGTAAGTAGTGTTTACAGTTTGTAGAATATTAGCAAAAACTTACATGACTCCGTCCTCCCTTCCAAAAGTCCAAAGCTCTGGCCTGCGTACGCCAGATTGTCCAAAGCCGACTGCTTGCGGCCAGTGCTTTGGAAATGCCACCAATTTCACCAGTATCGGCCACATCGCTCCATCGATAATGAACCAATGTACAGCTTCAGAGCAATGTACAACTCCAAGGTGTCCTGAGCTCGGATTGTACGCCATTGAGGATATCTCTTGGCCTTCTGCGCCTCCAGTCAGACGTTTGCTGAAAACCTCCGTAAACTAATCAATATGTCAGCGATATTGATCCAGAAGCATCATTGAGGACTAACATTGACTCCATTCCTTTTCCAGATGCACAAATATCCATCCTCGGTGCCAAACGCAATCCCTTCTTCTGCATCGTTGGGTTTTGTGATCCACACTATTGCCGTGGTATAGCCTTGATTGGAGGCTCCTGTGGGTGTTTCTAAAAGCTTTCCACCAGATAAGTACCAGATTTTGGTGCCCTCTTCGCCTTGAAATGACATTAGAACTCGCTAGCTTTTCAGAATAAAGCACTCACCCCCAGAAGCGACATAAGATCCTAACGGATGAACTGCGATGGACGTCACTGGTCCCAGTTGTACTTTGAGAACACTGCGCAGTGTATACTTGCTGCGATCACTTGTCAGTCTGTCGGCATTTCTTTTCTGCGTTAGCTTCATCTTGAGGGCTCACAACAAATCCTTAGTTGGACCTCTAGAAACGCAAGACTGAAGAGCTTTATGCTCACGAAAAGGACAAAAGCGAAAGACAACAACAAATGGATTGACGAAATGATCAATACCTTTTGTTCTTTTTCCAACTTCTTGTTCACATCCCTTGATCATGTGCGCATGCTCCAGTGTCAAAACCGGAGACAGATGGATTCGCTCGACCAACTACTCTTTCTTTCTCAATCCTTGCGCTGGCGTACTTTCACAATGTCTTCAGCATCATCTTTCCAACTTACAACTCAGATATTCTCACCGCCCAACAATTGAAACATTTTCTCCTCGTGTAGCACCCCGACCCCGGATAATTCCGGTCTATGCTACATCTATCCCTCTATGCTTGAAGCGTCCACTATCCATTCACCAGACCCTTCGCGTCAAACCCATCTTTCATCCCTATTCTCGTAGATCAGATCAACCACCTATCGAAATCGGTATCGGTATTGCATCACCTTCCCAGGGGGCAATTCCTCCAGGTTCTCCGTTGAGTGAACTAGATGACTCCATCAGCTTGTTACCTGGAGCTCGTATAATCCCTACACCCCCACCGAAAGGTAAGCTTACCGTGAACTCGGTGGGCTGGTCAGATGCTTTGAAGGGTTCTTATCATGTAAGCTGTCCATGTTATTATTGTATCTCCCTATCCGCTAAAAGATGTTCCGCATGAATAGAAAACTGCCCGCGAGGCTGTTGACTTGTATCTGGATGTTCAGTGTAACTTCGCACAACAAAATGCCGATGATTTGGAGAAAGCTCATACATACATAGGTTTT